CCATATCGGCTAATTTGCTAGAGTCTAGGTTTGATACGACCAGACATGCCGTTGGCTGACGAACAGTATGCCCACTTGAGACCAGGCATCCCTCTCACCGTAGGAAGTTCTTGACAATAGTCTCCGCGAGGACCACAGATTCGATCTCCCCTTAGTGATGGGGTTGCCGTCAGAGATGTCAACATGTTTAACACGGACACCAGCTTCTTTCAAATATTCCTCGAATTCTACCAGAGCGGCCCTAGCCTCAGCTTGCGCTTGCTCATACGCCTCCTCATTGAATTCGCCTTCCATAGCCTGACAATCAGTCCCATGGAAATTCTTCCTAATAGGCCCATTTATCGTTTGAGTTTTAGTTGGAGGTTACAGATACGAGACACTTCCATGAACCCACCTTCTCGGCCCTGGTCCTGATCAACTCAGGCGGTCCCTCCAAGATGGCTACTCCCTTCGGAAGACCTACCACCTTTCCGAGAATCATCGAGGCGCTCGCACCGTTTCCACTGAAAGAATAAGAAGATCCTCGACCGCTTTGCACGGCACTGGACAATCCTAGGTAATGTGGCACTAAGCGATGGGATACACACTAGCAGTTCCATGGCAGACCCAGGACCTACGGATAGCCATCAAATATAGCCATACCGCTTGAATGTGACGTGACGAAGCTGGACATCAACTGGGCCTTGACCTCATCGGAAGCCTTCTCAATCCCCGGACCCTCAGGGTCCAGTGCCTCTCGGATTTCTGGTGACACTGCAGGACCATCACCACGTCAGCTGATATTCATTCCGAGTTCTCTCACCGGCGTCTAGATTTTCCGACATATTCTCGGCAACCTTCTGTAGATTGGCAACGAAGGAACCCTCGATCCTATCCGAAAGCGCTTCAGCAACGCTACTCTTCCCAACGTAGGGCAGGCCCAGGATCACGAAGCTCTCAGGGAGACCATTGGAAGCAACCTGTGAAGACACGAACAGTATCCTCTTCATGGCTGTGCCCGCTGGACCTCCAAGAGATTACCATGGTCGCCATCTGCTCTACAGTACCGCTAACCACCGCAACATTTTCTCTCGCAGTGTCTCGCAAACTACGAATAAGCCTAGCAAAGGGGACGTTCAAGCCACCTCAGTTCCGCTTGCGGTTATACCTTCCATCGCAACTAGTCGGGCCAACGATGATTATTTGATCCACGACGAAATACTGCTTCAACCCAGTCACTGTTCTCATAAGGTTGTCTTTCTGACATGTCAACCACGTTGTCCTCTCATGCGTGGGTCGAGCCACGACCTGCGAAAGACACACTCTG